GTCGAAGGCGCGAGGGCGGTGATTTCCTTCTGCATACGATCGGCGATACCGGGATACATAGTAGTACCACCGGAAAGAACGGTGTTAGCATAGAGATCTTTGCGGATATCGACGTCGCACTTCATGATAGAGTTGTAGACAGTCTCATGGATGCCACAGGATTCCATACCCAGGAAGGAAGGCTGGAAAAGAGCTTCAGGACAACGGAACCTCTCGTTACCAATGGTGATGACCTGACCATCGGGCAACTCGTAGCTCTTCTCGAGGGAGGTACTGGCGGCAGCGGTGGCCATTTCCTGTTCGAAGTCCAGGGCGACGTAGCAGAGCTTCTCCTTGATGTCGCGAACGATTTCTCGCTCGGCCGTGGTGGTGAAGCTGTAGCCTCTCTCGGTGAGGATCTTCATGAGATAGTCGGTAAGATCGCGACCGGCCAAGTCCAAACGGAGGATGGCGTGAGGAAGGGCGTAACCTTCGTAGATGGGTACGGTGTGGGAGACACCGTCACCGGAGTCCAGGACGATACCGGTGGTACGACCGGAGGCGTACAGGGAAAGGACAGCCTGGATGGCGACGTACATGGCCGGGCTGTTGAAGGTTTCGAACATGATCTGCGTCATCTTCTCGCGGTTAGCTTTCGGGTTGAGCGGCGCTTCGGTGAGCAGGACAGGATGTTCCTCCGGAGCGACACGCAATTCGTTGTAGAAGGTGTGATGCCAGATTTTTTCCATATCATCCCAATTGGTGATAATACCGTGTTCTATAGGATATTTTAGGGTCAATATACCTCTTTTACTTTGCGCCTCGTCGCCGACGTAACTGTCTTTTTGACCCATACCGACCATCACGCCCTGTAAACGAACAAAAAATAATCTAAGCGTGTTTCTCTAAGTTTGAGTCGAAAGATATGTTAAAAAATACTGTTTCGTATATATGCTACATTACATAAAAAATTTGTAATATGAAATTGCTAAGTTAATATTCTAGATATCATGTCAATAGAGTTATAATGTTTAGATTAAATAATTTTATCGTTTTAAATGATAGGTCAATGTTCGGACCAACCTGATGACGAGGGCGACCGACGATGCTAGGAAATACAGCGCGCGGAGCATCATCTCCCGCGAATCCGGCCTTGCACATACCGGATCCATTGTCCACGACTAGTGCCGCAACATCATCGTCGCACATCTTGGTCGGTTGTTACTGTTACTTTCTGCGAATACACACCGAAAGATGCAGAGAAATTTTGCGAGGCAAGTCGATATTATTAATTATGATAATGAAATGTTGTAATTATTTATCGATTAATTAACTCATTGACTTAATAATTACAACATATACGAGTTAATAGTTAAATTATAGATAGAGAAGCTAGTCACTCTACATTACTTTAAAAATATGAAAAATATTTGGAATAAATTCTGTAGAAATTCAGGATAGTAGTAAACTGCTAATAAACTTTATAATTATCGCGTTAACATTCACGTATGCACATTCACTCAGGTATCACTTCACATCTCATACGATTACACAAACCGCACTCGGTTTTCGCACAGTTCTTTTTGAGGATTCTCGGAAAGTACTGTCCGATCGGTCCTGACGAAACTCCCCCCCATCAACCCTCCCGACATTTGAGAGCTCACTGAGCTTTAACTTAGCACCGTTTATTCGAATCACTACCGATCCCTAGAATCTGGTACTAAAGATTCTCGCGATTTTAGCGAAGCGACGAAGACCGATCGGAAGAGATCCTCGGAGATGATGCGCGTGAACCAAGGGGGTCGACGTGATTCGCGACTGCTAGGAATAACGAAGCACGGCGATTTACCGTTTCGCTGATGTGAGAGTCGAGGGAGAGAGATCGGCGACAATCGCTTAGGGTCGCGTGTAACGTCGTGCAAGAGGCTGGCGAGAACGGCAAGTGGCGCGGTACCGGCTCAGTGGGGTCCCTTTATCCATATCGGTCGGCGGCCGAAAATAGCGATCCGCCCCTTACATGGAAATCGGCTGTCCGCGTTAACGTCGGCCCGAAAGCCCGCGCCGCCCATTAGAGTCAGCCTAGTCCTTAGTTCGCCCTAACGAGAAGAGCAGCGGTGGAGGGAGGGAGAAGAGGACGCCGGGCATCGCGGGCGACTACGACGACGACGCGGTGGTGGCAGACGGCCCCCGGATCCAAATAAGGACTCGTTACGCGACAGGGACGTCGGCTGTTACCGCGGGCCTAGCGAAGGGGTGAGGTTCTAAAGGAATAACAAAGGATAAGATTTGAAAGGACCAAAAATAAGCGAGATTCGACGAAAAGAATCATAAAAGATGGAACGTAACAAAGCGACTGTAGAAGCGACTACAAAGAGAGACCTAAGTGAAGATCTAAGCAAAACTTAAAGGATCTTGATCCAAAAAAGCGAAGGACCAACTTTGAGGATCAAGTCTCAAAAAATAGAAACTAAAGATATTTACTCTCGAAAGAATAAATTTCAGAAAGTCGAAATTCTTAAAGAATTAAATACGAAAGAATCCAGCTTTCAAAATAATTGGATTTCGAAGAAGTAAACTTCAAAAGATTAACTTTCACTATGATGAATTGAGTCTTGAAGTAACGTCTTGCCCTGTATTTTTTAAGCACAAATTTATAATGCACGGGATAAATTTTCTCCTTCAGAGTGGAGTAGTAGGTTTAATTAGTGATCTATTAATTACCTGAAAAATAAATACCTTTACCTTTAGTTGTCGTTCTTTGACAGCACAATAATTTATTACAATGGTCAAGATTGCGCTGCCAAGAATAATAACTCGCATTCTTGGCATGTATTATTAACATTGGCAGCGCTCTCATGGTTTATTGATATAATATGATATTCAAGCATATTAGCAGAAAATAATCGCTAGTGCAGTTAACGGACAAAACGACTAAGCGCAATTTGTTATAATTGGCAGGTGCACGGGGCGACTCACTTGCTCGAGCCATCGCAAAGATCCCCTCTTCTACCTTTTTGCATCTCCGGCAAAGCCGATGCTGATGTCGATTCGCATTGTAGAGTTTCAACCCCGAAAGGGCGCATCTTTTGTTGCTGAACACCTCTCATCTCGTCATCGTTACATCCGACCGTGATAATCGTCAGGATAGCTTCGGCATGAGTGCGAAAAGGCGACCACCTCTTCATCAGCGAAAACACCGAAGGTGAATGTCATTTCATTTTTTCTTTACCTCGAGAGATCAGGAGTAAAATCCCTTAGGAGGATTTAGTTAGCTGGAAAAATCATGATTTCATATACTAAAAAAATTTAGAATTTTTTTATGTTTATCAATGAAATTTAACTGCATCCGTCATTAATTTGTTGAGATCTAAAGCATGAAAGAATTCATGTAATTGATGTAATTATAGAACAATCTATAGAACACACAAGGCAGCAATTAAAGCGCTTTCACACACATAATTATTTTCGATTTCTTATATGAGAATACGTAATACTATTGACTTATTTAACACGATATAGCCACCTTTCCCTAGTTGTATTTCTGACCCTATAATGAAATGTTTTATTATTATGTTATTTCTGTCGAAAAAATGTGTAACATCACAAAGTTGTATTTCGGATTTCAAGCATCTGGAATGCAGCCAGATGTTTGAGGCATTCTCGGCCATATTTTATGTAATCTCGATTGTGCTTTACGTTTTATGTAACATTGTCGTAATTGTGTGTTTGTTGATACGGGTAATGCACATCTATTTTTGTGCATATAAATCTTGCTATAGAATTACAAATAAGCTGAGAAATGAACTAAGAGAAATACATGGTTATATCAGCTAAATTTATCATCAAAGTTCTAATGTGTCAATAAAAAGCAATGATAATTTCGATGCAATATGTACAGCACGTACTTATTATATGCATATTTCCTAAATAGTTTTACACAAATCCTATAAAGTTTTTGTATTAATGTAATTTTATTTCGTTATTTAATGACTTTTTAAAACTTTAATAACATTTTTACAGAAAAAAAATATTCTTAATAATTATTAATTTTTAACATTTAAGCTTTTAATGTGTTTCTTCTTTTCATAGACTTCTAGATACAAATTATAGTTATAACAGCATTATATAAGTATGCATTTCCACATTTATCATAGTTTTATACACCACAAGTTTATAACTTCTACGGTAATAAAAACAGTAAATATTAAAAATGTATATTTATTTAGATCGGAAAATTAATAGATTATTCTTATTATTAAATTTTTGACATTAAGTGATTAATTTATTTAATGAATAGGCCGACACTGTTTTATGTGATTCTTTAAGAAGGAAAACTGTCCCACGAAAGATCCATTAATGTAAACTATTAATCCAATTAAGTACGCTGATCAGTATTTTTGTGCGAATATAAGGGTATTAGAGAATGAAAATTACGAATTGAACGGCTGTAAGAGAGAATATAAGATTGATTTATTCCATAGACGTAAACTTATATACAAAAGATGACGTATATGCTCGTATGATAATCGTTGGTAAAAGACTCGCCGCCACGGACCAATAGTAACGACAATAGTATTCGACTAACGGAGACCCAACTAGACGAAGCAATGCGGCAGTGAACGGTACATCTTAGGGAAAGGTGTAGCAATAATAACAATAATAGTAAATAGGATCGAGCGTAATTGCTTAGAAGCACTTGCGGTGGACGATGCCAGGGCCAGATTCGTCGTACTCCTGTTTGGAGATCCACATCTGCTGGAAAGTAGATAGAGAAGCCAGGATGGAACCACCGATCCATACAGAGTACTTCCTTTCGGGAGGAGCGATGATCTTGATCTTGATGGTCGAAGGCGCGAGAGCGGTGATTTCCTTCTGCATACGATCGGCGATACCGGGGTACATGGTGGTACCACCAGAGAGGACATTGTTGGCGTAGAGATCCTTACGGATATCAACGTCGCACTTCATGATAGAGTTGTAGACGGTCTCGTGGATACCGCAAGATTCCATACCCAAGAAGGAAGGTTGGAAGAGGGCCTCTGGTGTACGGAACCTCTCGTTACCGATGGTGATGACCTGACCATCAGGCAACTCGTAGCTCTTCTCGAGGGAGGTGCTGGCGGCAGCGGTGGCCATTTCCTGTTCGAAGTCCAGGGCGACGTAGCAGAGCTTCTCCTTGATGTCGCGAACGATTTCTCGCTCGGCCGTGGTGGTGAAGCTGTAGCCTCTCTCGGTGAGGATCTTCATGAGATAGTCAGTAAGATCGCGACCGGCCAAGTCCAGACGGAGGATGGCATGAGGAAGAGCGTAACCTTCGTAGATGGGTACGGTGTGGGAGACACCGTCACCGGAGTCCAGGACGATACCGGTGGTACGACCGGAAGCGTACAGGGAAAGGACGGCCTGGATGGCGACGTACATGGCCGGGCTGTTGAAGGTTTCGAACATGATCTGCGTCATCTTCTCGCGATTAGCTTTCGGGTTGAGGGGCGCTTCAGTAAGGAGGACAGGGTGTTCTTCCGGAGCGACACGCAATTCGTTGTAGAAGGTGTGATGCCAGATCTTCTCCATGTCATCCCAATTGGTGATGATACCGTGCTCGATCGGGTATTTCAGAGTCAGGATACCTCTTTTGCTCTGGGCCTCGTCACCCACGTAGCTGTCCTTTTGACCCATACCGACCATCACTCCCTGATGGCGAGGTCGACCGACGATCGAGGGGAAAACGGCGCGGGGAGCGTCGTCTCCGGCGAAACCAGCCTTGCACATGCCGGAGCCATTGTCTACGACCAGGGCAGCTACTTCGTCGTCACACATTGTTGTTTTTCTTCGATTTTAACGCTCTGGAAAGAAATTACAATGTCTCTCAGTCTATGATTATTTCTGTGTTGATTCTGTATGATAATTATTTATATTATCATTATTGTGTATAGTTTATTTTAATATTATAGATTACTATTCCTTTCCTGTAAACATTTGCGTTGTATATCGCTGACGTATTCTTATTTGATAAAATAGTAATTAGAATTTTATTAAAAATAAGTTATAAATAATTTTTATAATTCAAAATATTATACAAGTATCATTACATTAGCAATAACAATATTAAGAAAACCAAAATTAAGTAAAAATTGAAAATAATTTGTGTGAAAACGTATTTTTTCCTTTTTTAAATATTTTCTCATGAAAAAAGCCATATTAATTGTATGTATATATAATGATTAAAAGAATATTAATTAAGTTATTATGCTACAAGTTATTCTTTACGAATAAAATTTTTATATTGTAATATTTAAAATCAAAAATGTAAATTTAAAAATTATTTAATATCTAATTACAATTTTATTTGCAGGTTTTTCAAGGTCTTGAGGAATGAAATTTGCATAATTCCTTACAAGTGGAACATCTTAATTATTTCAAAGTTCGGAGTTCAAACTTGAGAAGTAACAGAAGTTATTTGAAAAGAAATATTTCACACATCTGATGATAGCCGAGTGAATTTCGAATGTTCTCCGATAATGTTGGTTCCCGGTGAGCGTTGCGCGAAGCCAGAATTGACCTAGTTGCCTAAAGCGATAGGCAAAGCGGCCCCAGCGTCGCGACGCTATTTTCGCCCAGCGCATCGCTAACTTTAGACGTACGGCCGTCGGACGCTCCCTAATAAGTTCAAGCGACGATTATGGTGGCCGACGCTGCCGCTGCCGCCGTAGCCGACGACGACGACGGATAAAACATAACGTCTCGCCGCGAGGCAACGACGAGCATGCCAAAATTATGCCTGCCCGAAAAGGACCAACGCGATTGCACGGCCGAAGACCTCGACTATGCGACTATGAGTGCGACCACGAAGAGACGGCCGTTCGCCCCACGTTTGCGTGTATTCGAAACTTTTACGACCGGCACCGGTAATGTTAGTTTAACATTAACGCTAATCTGAACTCGTATCTCGCTGATTGTAATTCTAGAAAGAGCCCAAGAGAGACGGTCGAGCTATGTTTAAAGTTAACCGATGTTGAGGGAAACGATCTTTAGAGGAATGAGTAATTTTAGGAACCAACAGAGAAAATACGAGGGGTACGATCCGTAGGAGAGTCCTTTTATGGTCATCGAAAGATCCGTGAACTTAATATACGTCATTCATAATTTTGCTAGTTCGTTAAACGTTTCTTAGCCCAAGTAAATGAAATATTAAGATGTTTTAATGTTTTAATTTTTTAAAATAATTTTTGCGTGTTTATAACTTAGATTGTACTCTCAATTCTTTTTTGTAAGGATTTCTGTTATGATACTTAAAAACGATATTAAATTGCAAACTTGAATCTTTAAAAACATTTATAAATTATATATATATATTTTTTTTTACATTTTATTAGCTAATAATCTTTGTACTCAAATTTTCTTATTTATGAAACTTTGCAAAGATAATTAGATTTCTTAAACGTTAATTACACTAAAATAATCTATCTCAAAAAGATATTCTATTGATTTATATTTTGAATATTATTTAACATTATCGAAATCGAGATGTAAATATTATAGTTAAGTAAAAAAATTCAACTTATAGGTACTTTTAATTCTAAGATATTTTCATTCAGATATTATCTAACAAGTAGGTAATGTTTAAATGTGTTATTTAAAATGTTACAATCAGAAATTAAAATCAATTTGTTGGGAATAGGACGACTCATCTTCTGCCTGTTATTGAAAGGAAAGATAGACATACAAACAAATTCAAGCGGATACGAGCGGCTTGACGGTACGCCAAGAATCAATCTCAATGGATAACAGCAAACGCTGCGAACTTGAACTTCTTCCAAGGATTCAGCAATAAGTCAAAGAACTTTTAGGCAAGTAGCATATTAAATAAAAAATAATTAATTAGGATCTCTATGATTTTTTGATCGTGCATAAAAATTTCTAATACTTTTAAACATTTTCAAATTTAATTTATAAATCTAACTTATCGATTACAATTAAAAGGAAATAATGAATAAAGAAAATTAAAGAGATATAATGAAAGATATGAAAATATGAATAACTTGTAAATTTAATTTAAATAATTCTGTTAACTAACTGGATCTTTTAGTTGAATCTATCTTGCGAATTCAAAATTAAATAATATCTCAGACAGAGAGACCTTGTTTATAATTTTTAATTGAAAATAATTAAAAATACAAGCAAAATTTTTCTCTATTTTAGGTATTATTAAATTTAGACGATTCTAATATTGTAGATGATTGTAGTATAGAATGCTGAAGCATTCAACAAATTTAACTTGAAAATTTCTTATTAAACATAAAATAATAGCGAAGTTGTTACTCTGCATTGCTGGTTATCTCGAATAATCCTAGTGGTACAGCAGCTTATCACTTTTGTTCGCTAGTCACTATAACACGCGGATGTCTTGATAAGGTGTCGCGGGAACAGGCAGAAAACGATCGTGGGTTCTCCAAGGAGGGAAAGATTTGTATCCGGCGGTGAAAGCGGAAATTCGTGATACTATGTCTACGTACCGTGCACGGGACAGAGGTGGAGCGGCGTCTGTGCCTCGGCGGCGTCGCGACGTCGATTATATGCTCTCGTCTGGACGCCCCCGCATTTTCGTGGGATGGTGCTTGCCCGACAGGCACGAAAAAGGCATCGCCTCGCGAGGCGTCGCGACGCCCGCCGAACTAGGCGGCCGCAGCCCCTAAGCGGACCAAGGAATATGCTTTATCGCTTTGGAAATACCACGCGACGCGTTCCCGCGTTGAATCGAGATGCCAATCACTTCGACGCGAATTAATCCGACAGTCAATTTTCCTTCCTATCAACATACGTCGTTTAACGTTTATTAGTTAAAGTTAACTGAGATTTAAGAGTTAATTTCGCATAAAGTAGTACTTGCATTTTTTCTCTCTTTATCTCTCTCTCTCTCTCTGGATAAAATATCGCCTGTAAAAATATTTTCGAATGCCCTGATTTGGGCGTCCAGACTACTTTATTTTATAAATATAAAAAATCTTGCAGAATATTCTTTGACAAACTCGCAATATATATGTATATGCTGATCTTTGATTTTCGATACTGTACATTTTACATAAAGAGAGTTATATAAAGTTTATATTCTTTGATCTTAATCATTTTTTATTTGTAAATTTAGTTTAAAAGTGTAATCACATAGAATTATCGCGGAATTATAGTTTCTTTGTCTAAATAAATATATCGATTGTACATCAACGAACAAAAAATAGAAGAGATCGAGAAAGCTCTAATAGAAGCAAGAATCATGTTCCTGCGGATATTATAAGTTAGCAAAAGTATTTTGAGATTATGCGATGCGACCGAAATAAACTTCTTCGCGAGAGCTTTTATCGCGGAGATTCTCGTCCCTAAATATCAATGGATCGAAAACGCCTATGAAAAGCTTCTAGAGCCGATAGCTAACTTGTGGTAGCCGGAAACGGATGTTCGTATGTTTCTTTTTCTTCTTCTTCTTCGGATTAGAGTTCCTATGAACTCTACTTCGGGCAAATAACCGCGACGACTAGCAAACCCGTCAACTGGAAGCGATATGCAAAAATTCTCACTACTAGAATTTTGTCAAGGGAGACAGAGAGAGAAATAATTAAAAAATGATAAATTTATTTAGGGCGATCTTGCATTAGGCCAAGGTTACTCATCGCGACTACGTATACGTGTAACGATAACAGTTTATTTTAAAATTACGCAGGCTACTACTTCGCCGCGATCGAAGACAAATTTGGACGTAAGAATGATGTGAGAAAACTATCATAACTATACTAAAATGCTCAGCTGCAAATTTATTTACTACAGCGATTGTTTAATAATACTTGAGACTGTTTGTGAAGTGTATAAGCAAATTTCTCTTTTCTCTCAACGTTTATATAATTGATTGAAAGAATAAGGATGAAGAAGTTGAAGACTTTATATACTCTTGATTGAAGAGTCTTGTTTATATATATTTATATCCTTTTTGTTGTTCTCGGTATAAATGTTTATAAATATGCTCTCACGTAAAACGTTAAGAATTCGTATTATTATATAGCGACATATTTTACAGATAAAAAGAACAACTTAAACAGACGAGGTTTAAGGAAGGGATCAAAAGACAATGCTGCGCTAAAAGGATACCGCAGAAATAAGCCAGGTATAAAGTTTATATAAGGTAATGTAAAAGTTCATATAACAGAAATGATAGTGGTGTGATATAATGTGTATTTGAATTGACCTTGACATTGTATAACAATATATAGTAACATAATGTATAATATTTACAAAATAAATTAAAGTATAGAAGTACATCGGTAGATGTTGTATTTAGTTGCTTTGGTTAGCAGACTAGACATAATTAATATGTAATACGTATTAAGAGAGGATCGATTTCTCAAACGGTGGTGAGAACGCTCGCGTGACAGTAATAGAGCGTAGCCTTCTCGAAGTAGTCTCGAAACTCGTTGCCAAGCGTAATCTGTCGAGATCCCTGCATGTCCTTACGTCTGCCCAGAATGTCCCTTTCGTGAGTCGAAAGATGCACTTGGTAGAGCCCATCCATATGTACAAAGATCCTTTCCAACGCTCAACAACGTCCAGGCTACTACGAGAGAGGTCCTGTGACGAGAGACAATCTCGCCGACCGCTACCTCGGCCATGATGATGACGTTAAGTGAGCAATGATACTGTCGAGCGCAGTTTTATAAAAGGCTGCGACGACAAGGATGATCAGCCAGACTGTCGTTGTTTGCGCAACGACGAGCGAGACTGCGACAATGATTCGATGAGATCCAATGAGGACTGAGAGTCGATGATAATGCTCTGATGATGTTTTCTCATAGCAGCTTGATTGCTCGGGCCAGAACTGCATGCTATTTGTGTGTTCTTCCCGAGATACGATGATGTTCTTTCGAAGATTACGCTGTTGCGTTGATCGTGTAATGACTCGTTTAGAAGCATTTGCGGTGGACAATGCCAGGGCCAGATTCGTCGTATTCTTGTTTGGAGATCCACATCTGTTGGAAGGTGGACAGAGAAGCTAAGATAGAACCACCGATCCATACGGAGTACTTCCTCTCGGGGGGAGCGATGATCTTGATCTTGATGGTCGAGGGCGCGAGAGCGGTGATTTCCTTCTGCATACGATCAGCGATACCGGGGTACATGGTGGTACCACCAGAGAGGACATTGTTGGCGTAGAGATCCTTACGAATATCAACGTCGCACTTCATGATGGAGTTGTAGACGGTCTCGTGGATACCGCAAGATTCCATACCCAAGAAGGAAGGCTGGAAGAGGGCCTCTGGTGTACGGAACCTTTCATTACCAATGGTGATGACCTGACCATCAGGCAACTCGTAGCTCTTCTCGAGGGAGGTGCTGGCGGCAGCGGTGGCCATTTCCTGTTCGAAGTCCAGGGCGACGTAGCAGAGCTTCTCCTTGATGTCGCGAACGATTTCTCGCTCGGCCGTGGTGGTGAAGCTGTAGCCTCTTTCGGTGAGGATCTTCATGAGATAGTCGGTAAGATCGCGACCGGCCAAGTCCAGACGGAGGATGGCATGAGGAAGGGCGTAACCTTCGTAGATGGGTACGGTATGGGAGACACCGTCACCGGAGTCCAGGACGATACCGGTGGTACGACCGGAGGCGTACAGGGAAAGGACAGCCTGGATGGCGACGTACATGGCCGGGCTGTTGAAGGTTTCGAACATGATCTGCGTCATCTTCTCGCGATTAGCTTTCGGGTTGAGGGGCGCTTCAGTAAGGAGGACAGGGTGTTCTTCCGGAGCGACACGCAATTCGTTGTAGAAGGTGTGATGCCAGATCTTCTCCATGTCATCCCAATTGGTGATGATACCGTGCTCGATCGGGTATTTCAGAGTCAGGATACCTCTTTTGCTCTGGGCCTCGTCGCCCACGTAGCTGTCTTTTTGACCCATACCGACCATCACTCCCTGATGGCGAGGTCGACCGACGATCGAGGGGAAGACGGCGCGAGGAGCGTCGTCTCCGGCGAAACCGGCCTTGCACATGCCGGAGCCATTATCTACGACGAGGGCTGCTACTTCGTCATCACACATTTTGCTGCTGGTTTAGTTTCTCTGTAAAAAGAATTCGTTTTAATTAGATTAGACTTGAGTACGTCGATTTGTGTAAATTGGTTTTCTTATAATTGTCCTGAATGTATAAGATTTTTGTATATAATTCCTATTTTTTTGTTTAATTGTATCTTATGTATCTATTTACAGTTTTACATAATCGCATTTAATCACGTTCAAAAATATCTGTAGAAAATATAAGCAGACGTCTAATTATATCTCGTTTTGAAGTAGCTCAGTCAATTCTTAAATTAACTGTATTTTAGTTTTCAAGAATAACACAAAATTTCCTTAAAAAATAATAATTTTGATAAAGTGATAATTTCTTCTATTTAAAATATGAAAATAATAAAGATTTTTTAATTATTTTTGTTACAAAATAAGAATAACTTAAAACGTTGATTGAAATAATGTTATTTTTTAGATTTATTGTAATTAAATGATTAATTTCTGATTATTTACTCAAGAAAATAATTTGTATTGACCAGTACTACAATGTTTAAATAATTGGTCACTACATACTGTTTTCTTAATATAACATACAGAATTCTCTTTGCAAGAATTTTCCTACTCTGCAATGACACAACGTTGTTGTAGTCAATGTTTCACTTTAAAATTAATCGAATTTTGATCGTATTGCAAAATTGAACTCGCCCTTAAATCGAACCCTTTGATTTATACACTGACACGTTTTCTTTTTTTAGAATCTCTTGCCGGCACTTCTAACTTCTGCAACCGCGCGTAAACTTTCAACCGATCGGACACAGTGAGGAACGTCTCGCGGATCTATTACTAACCGTGAGGGTGAGTTGTGAATCGACGGGCGGCTGAGGAGCGGCTGAGGCTCGAGAGCGTCGCGACGCCAGATATAACGTCCGCGGCGCGATACGCGACGCTACCGAAGATGGGCACGCGAGACGCCTCGAGGGCTGGCCAGCGATGCTGCCCACGCCTTATGCCACGCGGGTGGTGGTATACGGACCAGGAAGCCCGGATGGCGCACGAGAGACGCCTTTGGGCGAGAACGGCGGCGACGCCGTTCGTGCGCCGCGACGCATCGCTCCTCGTCATCGCCGTCATTGTCGTTCTTCTTTCCCTCCTTCTTCCTCTTTCTTCCTTCGTCTTTATCTTCTTCTTGTACGCGTTCTCTTGAAAATCCCCGCGGAACGGCCGGCATCTCCTAATCTGGACATTAACGCGGGTTGCCGACACCGTCATTGCAGTTATCTGCTCTTCGTCTGCCTCAGCTCATCGAGAGATAGTCTATTTTAAGTCTTGTAATAGATTTTTAATTGAATATTCTAAGGAATAATCAAGTTTATAGTTGCGAATGTTCACGATTTTTTTAAAAGGATTTAAAACACAACGCAAGAGTTTTTCTGATTGCAATCAAACTGTCATCAGTGTGTGGGCATCAGATATTTTTAAATTACCTAGTTTGTGAAGAAGATTCTTGAAAACACTGTAAAATTAACACTATGTTAAAAATTAATTAATTATATTATTAATTAAAAGTGACGTTAAAAATCTTAATTTAACTTTGTCTTAAATTAACTTTGTTATAAATATTCTCAAAGACTAACCAGTAAAAAAATCTAAAAGAATTCACATGTGAACATTATTTATAAAAGAGCTTATATTTTAAATTTTATGCAATTTTTAATATTGCTGATTTTCCTTACAACCTCCTTAATGTTTAGAAAAAAAGTATTAAATAATTAATATTTATTGTACAATACAGTGCACATAATCTTTAGCTTAACCCATTCTTTTTAACTCGTCGTTTTCTTCTTCTTTGGCTTTGGCTTCTCGTGGTCATTCTCGTTGCCGAAGATGCTTTTGGCATACGTTGGAAATCCCCGACGCCTCGTGGCGCTCCTGAAAATACCCACTCATGGCCAAATCAGGATATTAACGCGAGACGATATTACGTACTCCTTGGAAGACAAAATACTCAAAGAATCTATTACGAAGGAAACGGAAACACACTCGATCGTGTTGCGAGCTTCTAGATTTCTTTTTGGTTCTTATCGCATTTTTTCCCGTTGATCTATAAAGCGTTTGAACATCATAGTCATCTCACCACCCACATGTCCGTGACTGTGCCCTTTGGTATTTGGACAAATTGCCAATTGGCAATTTAATTTAATCGTGCATATAATGAAACATTACATACGTCTCTCATATAATAATTCATTGTTATGGCAAGAAAAAGTAAAATAGAAAGAAATAGAGCTTAGAATAAATCTCAACAATTCTCGCTCTCTCTTTCTTTCTTATTTAATTGTCGTTTAATTTAATTCGCTCAATAGAAAACTCATAAAACTTACCAGATAAGGTTGTAATTCTAAGAAAAGTAATCGTGAAAGAACAGTTTGTATTTCTAATTTGATAAGGGACATTTATTGGTTTTATTTCCTTCTTTACATAAAAGTATTAGGAAAGATTGTCGGTAATCTAATCTATGTTGCTTGTATATTATGTATTACTCAAGATGATTAATATCAATTTTAATCTTGAAATTTTATTAGAGACCAGTATAAGATGGTATGTGTTCAGAATGAAGCAAACTGATTAATCTCTAAACGATATCAATAATTTATTAGCAAATTTAAAAGAATAAATCTTAGTTATTTTCAAGAATAGATTCTTATTAAATATTCTATTCTGTTTCTTGCCATAAATAGCTAAGAATTATCTTAACCGTTTCATCTCTCCGATTTCTCTTTCAGATCTTGACAATTAGATTATCGAACTTATTATCTAGTGATAGATCACTGAACCGTTGTAGAAAATCTCATGCTATGACGACCTATTATACAAATCTTGTATCTTGAACCTTCGTGAAATCTAGTATATAGCCGTGTTATTTGGAGTGAAACAAATTTATTAATATCAGTTCAAGGAGGATTGAAGGAAAGAGCAAAAACATCAGAAACATTACAGTGAGATAAAACGTATTATCCTACGACTGAATTTAAATCGTACGATTACGAGTAATTAATTTTTGTAATTTTAATAATAATTATATAAAGGAAAAATATAAATATATTTTTCTCTCTCTCTCGCATATATAATTCAAAGGAAAAAAAGATAAAAATCACATGACAAACATATATTTTTATAAGTAAAGTATTATTCCATCACACACACGCACAAATTTGTTTTATAATATACTTTATTATATATTAGTATGAAGAGCTGTGACCAGCTGTGACTACGCATGAGATTCATTTGTATGAATTATATAAAAACGGAAGCTTCCACAATAAATGTACCGTTTTCTCACAACTCTCTTAGCATGTCATTGACCAAAGTCAACTAGTGAACTATTCGCCTTAAATAGCTCGCTTTTTCAGCGTCTCGTATTTTTATAAGCAACGGATAAAAATTGTTCACGATCTTATCTACGCTCCGACGAAGAGAAAATATTTAACTGCATGCAACTTGAACAAACACTCGAACTGAGTTAATTTATTTTATGATGTTCTTGATATTCGGTATCTCTGGCGCCACTAACATTGTATAGACATTCTTCTGCTGCATTATAGAACCTGACGCTTTTTTAATTTTTTTTTTTTAATTGAGAATGCATGACACGAACGGATATGCATTCCGAACCAGATGTTTCAAGTTACTATTAAAAAAAGTTATCTTTCACTCGACAGTATTTTTCCATTTAAACAAACTTACTTTGTAAATGTTGTTTTTTAGTTTCGTTTAACATCATTCTATTTCATCATTTATAATATAAAAAAATAAAAACTTATTATATACTTATTTCTTTCGTAAATTTGTTCATTTTATTTTCAATTATATTAAAGAATTTTCAATTAATATACGCAAGTAGATAAGATTCAAGGATTCTTTTTGGTGAAGCAAAACTCTAAAACTGACTATTTCCGAAGATGGTATATTATTTTTATTGAAAGATATTTAAATCTCCAGACAAAATACATTTTGAAAAAATTTTAATATACTCTATTCGTCTATTCTGTTGAAATATTAGTTTTGTGTTTTTCTTCTGATTCAGAGCTGTAGGATCCAGCTTAAGGCATATAACCATCTCCGAAATTTCGTATAATGAGCAATCTTTTATTCTGTGACCGTAACGGTTAGCCCTTGGATCCATATCGAGTCCAGGATGTGACCTCGGCTTAAAGAAGTGAAGCGAAAAGAATCGGAGGACGACGGCGAGGACACTCATTCCCACGAGTCCAGAATGTGAAACTGGTCAGATAAAGATACGATATACGCTTTTATATTAGGCATTATTAATGCCGAGCCATCGTTAGTTTCAGCTCACGACAATAAACTTATGTAAAATACGAAAGTGACCTGCAGCTCTGTCACACAATACGTTTTTCTCCAAGGCTCGTCGGTTTTTTGTTGCCGCACGCTGATCAGAACTTATCGGTCTGGAACTTATTAAATATCTCGAAGAGATTACATTATAAGTATAACGATTTGACGCAAGGCAATTTTGTGGCACTGTGTTGTGCAAAATCCAAGGGATTATCCTAGCAAACAAGGTGTCCTGCTTTACGCCCTGATTAATTTTCAAATAGAGGAAATCCTTATAATGTAATATTTATGAAATAAGGAAGCGAAGAAAATTAGATACAAAATTAGAAACGAAATTTAGACAGATCTAAGGCATTTCTCTTGCGTATGGAAAAATATATTTAGAATAATAAGTGAAGTAATCTACTCGATAAACATCGATATTCATAGCGATAAAAAAACTAGGCGTTTTCTTTTCGGTCTGAAACAATCGACTTGAGAGCATAAAAATTATCATGTGGAACGACCGGGTTGAAATATAAATTCACGACAATACGACACGTCAGTAAACAACAGGACGAGTCGAGGAGCCGAACGACAGGATTGTATTCGGATTTATCAGAGAACGTAGGGGCTCGATTAGATGTTGTCCGCGAAGTGGGGAAGTTGCATAAAAGATAACGTGCCTCACTCACGGAGGTCAGTCGGCGATTGGGAGGCGGTCACAAATCGCAGCTGCGGAGAACGTTCGTGAAACTCTTCATCAAAACCGCTAGATCAAATTGTTTCGTAAAACGGTAAAAGGATAGGCGAATCGATATGCTGCGCCTGTAAGTATCCCGTTAATTTATTAACATAAACATGTGCTTTTCACGAGAATAAACTTGATTGATGATTAGTGATAATTTCCGTAACAAAATGCGGAGGAACAGTTACACGATATTACAGTGATTAATAATGGAAAATTAGTGATATTATAGTAAAAAGATAGGATCATATAATATCGTTATATTTTATGTTAACTGAAAAAATTATAATAAAAAATAGTTGCTCTCTACTTGTAATGTAGACTGTTAAATTTTCCTTTTTCGCAGAACATTTATTTAATTATTTCGTTTAATTATTTCGCGAGATGAGAGCGATTATCCACTTTCGATAGAGTCGTATTACATACTCGAAGTACCATGGTCGGCATTTACGTTAAATATATCCGGATGTACGACGACATTCATGATCTAACGAGTTAATACGTCGGACCAAGCGCGCCTGGACGAGACTTTAAAATTATTGTTCGACCTCGGGTGTCGATTTAGCACCGTGTTGCCATTCCGCCGAACACTGTCACGTCCGTAGATATCGTTTATTGTGATGAAAATGTCATAATAAATAGTTATCACAAAACATGTTTTATCAAACACTTCATATCATAATATATGAAATAATCAGCTGACGTCCGATAAATTTTTTTACATGCTTAGTACACTAAGTTGAACTAAAATATCTCGCCTTATTTGTAATTATTCTCTAATTATTGATTTAAAAATGTAACAATTAAATTTCTCTATAATTCTCTATAATATAATTTTATCAGAATCTTGGTAGCAGCAGTTATAACTCTAGTGGCAACCAAACCAGCGACGGAGGATACAGTGGAAATCAGCACCGAAAATCCGCAGACTGCCGAAAATCTCCTGAACAATGCCCAACAACTCCTAAAAAACATCAACGCGCGATACGCAGAATGGAGTAACAAGCAAAGCATCACCTCATGGAATTACGCATCGAATATGACGAATGAGAACCTGGCAGAGAAGCTGAGAGTGTCCGCGGAAGCAGCAAATGCCTCCAAGCAGATTGCTCAGGAAGTGAACGCCTTCCCTTGGAGAGAATTGGAAGATGAGTCTATCAAGAGGCAGTTCAAAAAACTCGGTACACTCGGCACCGCCGCTCTTCCCGAAGACGTAAGAATATACGAAAGAGATCAATATTAATCATTTTACTAATCATACATTTTCCGCGAAAAATTGGCGAAAAGGAATAAGCTCGAATTTATTTCGAGACACTGAAGTTCTAGTTTTAAAAAGTCCTGTTTTCGCCCTCGAAAATCCTCTTTAGCATGTCTATAAGACAAATATTAATTGATCAAAATCACAATCACAAGTTAGGTCACTACCGAATGATATATGATTGCAGAGTTACAAAGAGTTCGAGATGACAATCAGTAAGATGGAAAACATCTACAGTACTGCGAAGATCTGCGACTACAAAGACAAGAACAAGTGCGATCTCGCGCTCGAGCCGGAGATCACCGAGAAGCTGATGAGTAGCCGCGATCCTGAGGAGCTGAAGCATATCTGGATAGAATGGAGGAAAGCGTCGGGCGAGAAAGTCAAGTCTCTGTTCCCTCAGTATGTCGAGCTAGCCAACACCGCGGCAAGACTTAATAACTTCTCCGACTACGCAGAATATTGGATGAAAGACTACGAGGCTGCTGATTTCCCTGAGCAAATCGGTAAGATCATCCGCAGCAGTATCCGTACTATCGATCGCATGTGATGAAGCAGTGATAAAACGGCAAAATCTGTACAGAGAACCAATGGCAACAATTAAAGCCACTGTATTTACAACTGCACGCCTACGTACGGCGCGAGCTCAGGAAGAAGTACGGCGAAGACATCGTCTCCGAAGACGGCCCGATCCCGGCGCATCTATTGGGCAACACCTGGGCACAGACCTGGTCGAATATCGCAGACTTCACCATGCCGTTCCCGGGCAAACAGCTGCCGGACGTTACTGCCACTCTAGTCGAACAAGGCAGGTTTATGTTTGAGTCTTTCAAGATATACCGTTAAACCGCTTTATTTCCGGCTTATTTTTTACACCTGTATACTATGTTGTAATACCTCGTAACTCTTTGATGAGCAGGTTACAATGCAACGAGCATGTTCCGCCTCGCCGAGAACTTCTTCACGTCGATCAATTTGTCTGCCATGCCGGACACGTTCTGGGAAAAATCGATTCTGACGAAGCAGAAGGACGTAGACATGATCTGCCATGCGAGTGCATGGGATTTCTACGACGGCAAGGATTTCAGGATCAAGCAATGCACGCGCGTTAACATGGAGGATCTGCTGACGGCACATCACGAGATGGGTCACGTCGAGTATTATCTGCAATACAAAAACCAGCCTACAGTTTTCAAGGAGGGCGCAAATCCAGGTTTTCACGAGGCGGTCGGTGACGTTATCTCTCTCAGCGTGTCCACCCCTAGTCATCTCAAGAAGATCGATTTATTGAAAGATGACTCGACTGACCAGGAAGCACTTCTCAATCACCTCTACGTGAAGAGTCTTGACAAAATCGCTTTCTTGCCGTTCGCTTATATGATGGACCGATGGCGTTGGAATGTATTCCAGGGAAAAGTCACGCCTGACAATTACAACTGTAACTGGTCAGTTTTGAACGACAAAAGTCTATCTTCGTGTTACTTTCTTTTCTGAGCAATATTCTTCCTCGAATAAAAGTTCAATAAATCAAATTTCCAAGAAATTAAATTTAAAAGATATTTTAAGCAAGTTGAAATTTTTTACTTTAAGGTGGTTGCTCGCTGAGGAGTATCAGGGCATCGAACCTCCCGTGGATAGGACGGAAGAAGACTTCGATCCTGGTTCGAAGTATCACATAATCGCGGACGTTGAGTACATAAGATACTATGTGAGCTTCGTGATACAGTTCCAATTCCATAAGGCATTGTGCACCAAGGCGAAGGAATACGACCCGAATAATCCAGATACCAAGCTATTGAGTCAGTGTGATATTTACGGTAATAAAGATGCCGGAAATCTGTTAAAGTAAGTTTGATACGCAACGCTAGAATGTAAGAATACAATTCGAGCATAGAGACATTGAGCGTATTTATGTTAGATCTATGCTGGAGTTGGGTTCTTCGAAACCATGGCCAGACGCGATGGAGAAAATCTCAGGTCAAAGGCAAATGGATGCGGCTGGACTTTTGGAATACTTTAAGCCCTTGACTGATTGGCTAATCAAAGAAAATAAGAAAACTAATGAATACATTGGATGGAAACCCAGTAAAAAACGTACGTACCATAAATATGTATATAAATTATTTCATGAAGATTTATTATTCATATTTTATATATAATGTATATATCAGATGTATATATATATTATATCTCAGATGTTATGACAACTGAGATATATCATTCTAATTATATTTTTTCGCTTTAGACTGTGTACAGACGAGAGCAGAGCTTGTGAATTAGAGCTATCAATGAACTTTCGGAATAACAAATTCCTCACTAATGAAAATATAAAATATATGACACACTACGCCAAGCATTCCGTTTTGAGCCACAATTTTCGATCTAACAAAGAACAAATCATTTCACGATTATACAAATCTGCTCCGATCAATTCGAGCAGTGAACAAGTGTTGACGTGACTGATTAATTTTGTTTGAAGTTTTTCTAAATAAAATGTACATTCCATCTTTTAATATTGTCTCTTATTTGGCTTTACCACGTCCCCTTCCGCGTTTCTTAGCTGGTTCGCCGCCTTTTTTCGTCGATGTAGCAGCTTTACTAGTACTAGGTTTTTTTGCCTAGAACACATTACGTAATCATATTTTTTTTTCGAAAAATTGATGTATTTTATGATAGAATCACGAAAATAATTTTGAACCTTACCTTGATCATCTTATCAGAATCAACATCGTCAGTTTCTTCATCATCATCTTCTTCTTCCATGAAATCGTTTGAATCTTGCGTAGATCTCTTCTTCGCTGTAGCAGTGCTGTTAATTGCGTATGGCAGCATAGGAGGATTCTTTTGATACGCTCGTGTAAATGCTGCTTTTACCTGATATTAGTAACATTGATGTTATTAAAGTACAAAGCTATCACAATTGATTATTAATTAGAATACATTGATATAGCACATACTTTACTATCAAGATTAGTCGTAGGATCGCGAAGTCCTGGCCAAGCAGAGATTTCTATTACTGAATCCAAGTCTTCCCTGAGGCAAAATTAAATATCAGCATATATATATATATATCTTTCTGTTTTCCAATACATTCAAAGTACGAACCTGGTTAAATGATACTTTCCCATAACATTTATCGCTGCTTCTATGCCATCCACACCGTTTTCTATCAGAGGTTTTACAATAGCGTTTCGAAGATGAGCTAAATAATCCATATTCAGGGCATCCTTATTTGCACCTGTGGCTAATCGCGTATGCGTTGTCAATTCTTGCATTAATCTAGAAGTAATACATAGAGAATAAAGCGCTGCTAATAAAGTTCGGTATAATCACAATGCATTACGTTATGATAAAAGTCTCAGTATTCTGTAATTAGTACTTACCGGTTAAATCTCGTTGCCTTCGAATTTCGTCCGAACCAGCTCGGGAATCGTATCAACCCATCAAGGTTTCCTGACATTTCATTAGCCGGTATAACAAACGAGAAACAAGCATGCATCGGAAGTAGACTCCACATCATATTGCCTCTTATCACTTTATCGACGAGGTCTCCCTGAGATATACTATCAGCCGCATGGGCGATTCTTTCTAGCCTCTGACGACTGTGAATGTAATAAAATTCATCAACTCTTAGCCTTCGTACAAATAATCGTAATTATATACTCACGGTGACGCTTGACATATTCTGACTCCCGAATAATTTTCTTGTATAAAAAGGGCTGCACCATTGTAATCGTGGAAATATAAGCCGATCTTATCGTTCAAACTCATACTTTTTTGCTGTTCTGCATTGAATGCTATTTTTGTGACGTCGAATATACCGAGCTTGACGTTTTTATTCGAATGTTTCTTGTCAGTCTTCTCCACGTGAGACATTTGACTGCCAAGAAATTCCAAATGATTTATTACTTGTCGAATGTCATAATTTGTCGACTCAATTAAACGATCGAGATCCTCCGTCGAAATCTTGATGTTCTCTTTAAAACACAGGGACTTCATAGAACTCTGTAAAGAGCAAGATCGAATTATTTCAAATGAATTATAAGAAACGTTACTTGAACCAGATCCTATAAATCATACCCTGATCTGTTCTACTCTGAGCTTCTGATATTTCAGTTCGTAGCTGTGCGTAGAAATGGTTTTCACCTTCGTATTAAATCGATCATTACATATACAAATAATTGGCACTTCCGTGCATTTGATTAAACTAACTAATTCTTGTAAGCCACCACGATCTTCGTTGCCAGCCATGCCGTCGACCTCGTCCATCAACAGTACGTGTTTGTTTGTGATTTTTTGCTTGGTGCCTGTAACATATACGTGAGACAAGAAAATGGTATGATTATATATTTCAAGATTTTTTATTATATATTCACCTATGACGTAATCTTTCATCGTGGTATTAGATAACAATCCTGAGACTGCTTCTTTCAGAAGTGTCTTGTTTCTCGTATCAGAAGCATTGAATTCCACGAGATCGTATCCCAATTCTTTACAAACAATTTGCACAGTTGTTGTTTTACCAACGCCTGGTGGACCGGACAGCAAGGCAGCTTTGAAACTTTGTCCATGAGTTTGCTTACCAGCTTTAAAACAGAAACGAAATTAATCAAATTAATATTCTCATTTTATCTTCAGTGATTTCATTTTTAAAAAATGATAAAAGCTGACATACTGCCGTCTTTGTATTTGGGATCTTGACGATTTTTATGCCAATCACGTAACCATACGTATAAGTTGTGTGCACAGCTCTTATCTCCCTGCTGACCTATGATCTGCTTCAAAGTTTTGGGTTTATACTTTTCAACCAACAGTTCTGACCCAACACTTGTAGTTACCTAGAAGAATATAATGTCGTTAATATAAAACCGTGTTTTAAGTTTTATTTTATTTTATATCACTTTTGTATATGTGCACATTGTCAAATTGATATCTAAACTTACCTCTTGATTTGATACCGGTGACGTTTTTATCTTTTCAAGTGAATCTAATGGCGGCGTTTTTATCTTTTTAGGTGAATCTAATGCTATTATTTTACTCGGTGATGGCGATTTATCTTTCTCAGATTTATTCGGTATTTTTTTCATGTTTAACTTCGCCTTTGTAGGTTTGATAACTTTAGCTTTACCTTCCGGTCTCGTGCGAATCATTTCTAAAAGATCATCCTCAGATATTTGTTTGATGCCTAAACTATTGGCCTGAAAATATATTTCGTGTAAACAAAAAACAAAAGATATGTACAATGTGTGTATGTAACCATGTGAAAATGTACCTTCGTCAATTTGGTTGGGCCAGCCTCATCTCCCACTATAATATATGTCACTTTACTCGATACAGTGTTTACGGTCCGACCACCATACTTCCGTATTAAATCCTCAGTTTCATTCCTTTCTAATGAATCCAAAACACCAGTAATCACGAAACTTACTCCGGCTAAGCAATTCTCGGCACCCTGAAAATCGAGTCAATTGAAAATCTTATAGAACAGTTTCTATATGCCTTTCGGGATTCTTTAACGTTATCGTGTTGCATGTAAAGCTTCTTACTGTAGGGATCTCTTTTGAACCGGGATTTCTGGCGCCGCCTCTCTGAAGATATTTTTCGTACATTATAGCACGCTGTTTCTTCTTTTCTACCCTTTCGTCAAATAAATCCATTTTGGGTTTCTTCCTACTTTGTGACTTTCCTGTATCTTGGTCTTCTTCCGATACAGAGGTAGATGTTGAATTATTCAATTTTTTATCGCTTATATTCAAGTTTCCGTTAATATTGCGTTTCTTCTCTTTTTGTCTTGGGGGAGAACATGTAACAACTTTTGAATGTTCATTACTTTTACCGGGAGACATTTTCACCTCCTCTGATTTTAGTTTACTTGTTTTATTATTAAATTCTTTCAAACAGATATCATATTTACTGCTCTTTTTGGAGTTCACATCTGTAAAATTTCTGTTATGTCAAATATGTAACAATGACTGTATTCGTATTTTACTGCCAGTACTGAAAATCTAGTTTACGTCACGTATACTATAAATTTTCAGTACAACCAGTAAAATACGAACACAGTCAATATCACCCTAAGGTTTTAATTAATTGCATATATAAGCATACCTATTTTAATTACTGCAACTTCAGATTTCTTAGGGGTATCTGCATTTTTAGCACTGTTTTTATCTTTCTTTTTATCGTGCATCACAATATCTTCGGCCGTGTCCAATTGTTTAAGCACAGCTTCAAAATCTTCGTCATCATGAAACTCGGATTCCTACAAATTCCAGAAAGCTGTAGAATGTTTCTTAATTTCTCTATTTACCTTTGCTATATGATATTTACCACTTTTTGCAATTTTCGGCTAACTTTTGTTTCTTCTACTCTTGTTATCGGCTTCTTGCCGAATACTTCACTGAGAGATACCTCTGTGCATGGCTTCTGACTCTCATTTTTCTTGCTCTTGGATTGAGAATTTTTCGTAACGATTTTCACGATCGTGGTGTCATCCTCAGAGTCAGACAGAACGGAAACTTTCTTTGTTTTTCGTACAACCTGCACAAATTAATTATCTAAATTGGCATTGTTGCAAACAACAAAGAAAATTATAAAGAATTTACAAAAAAAATATATATATAAAGAAATTATACAAATAAATAACTATGACAAATAAAACTACGATATAGATAAATAGAGATGACGTAAGAAAGAGATAGCACCTTAGTGCGCTTTGCAGATGACTTTGGTTCTTCATCCTCGTCTGATGAAATGACGCGCCGCTTCTGAGGCTTCGAGACGACCGGCTCGCTGTTTTTCTGGGAACTCCCGACCCGCGCAAAGTAGGATCTGATGTCCTGCGGAAAAGACACGTGCGTGAGAGTTTGATACACATGAGATCAAAGCAATTAAAACCCAATTAACCTAATCTGACACTCGCTACGCTCCCGTTACGTACCCGCGGCATCTTCGCGGTATATTCAGCGGCGTGTATCCTGTATCCGTATCCCGTTCGCACCAGTCGCACCTGTCACGCCGGCATAATCGGCCGGCGTTTATGTTTTCGTGCGGCAACAACAAACGATTTTCCTCCGAGACACTGCGAGACGCGCAATACTCGCGCGTTCAGCGCGATGCACGCAACACGCAAGCGCGAGCATGCAACTTTCATTTGTCGCACGAAAAGCTTTTGTCACGTCATCTCAAAGGGCGACTTTGTCCCACTTTGTCCAAAAATTCTGATTAACCGAGATCGACCGATCGACGATTAATCCAATTAGCACAGTACGATAATATAATACCAGTCTTATCCCAAATTAAAAAAAAAAATAGAAAATACTTAAAAAAATAATAATAAATAAATATGAATAATTCAACCGGTAGAATTGCTAGCAAAACTTCCAATTATACAATTCGTCTCTGATCTAATTTTTTTAAAACGACGAAAGATTAATATTTGTGTTGATAAAATAGTAGAGAGATCATAGAGATATAAGTTAGTCTGATTAAGTTAGTCGGAGCTTGGGCGTCCTAACCTAACCTAACCTAACCTAACCTAGACACTTGGACCGCCTCGTGAGTCGTGTCGGGTTCGCGGACGATCACGTTTTCCTTCGTGAAAGCGATTTTCATCCCTTTAAGAATTTAAGATAGTTATCCTATCTTTTGCACGACAGTTTATCTCGCGTTTTACAGCGATTGCTACAAACGCACAGGTAGGGGGGAAAAAACGTTAACGATTTTTCTGTCAGTGATACTCATAGATTAACATTCGTACACACGTGTTTGAGTCCACTGTACACGTGGAAGAGAGATTTTTCTTCAGGTTGCCTATTGTTGAATTTTGATCGAAAAAGGCAGATATAAAAAAGATAAATTATTTATTTGCATTGCAGGAATATAAAAGAGGATTGATTTGATTATTTGCGATTGTGTATTTACACCAGGTAAAACATGGTGAAGGAACAGTTCAGGGAGACTAACGTCGCCAGCGAAGTGTACGTAAACTCACTTGCTTTAACGCATTTAATGAATGAAGTATTATTATTGGCGAGTTCTTCTCAGGCAATGATATCGTTGCTAATTTGTACGCAATTTTATTGCGACACGAAGGCAACATGTGATCTTCTACTTGAAATTTTCTGTGTCCAGCTCCCATATATCCTTCGGAGTGGATAGCATGCACGACATGGACATGCAGGCCACTGTGGAGGTGATTTCTAAAAACTTGTACAATGAGGATGCGAAGCGTACTCCGGCTCTGAATGGAGCGCTCGATAGGCGCATGGTATTTGAAAATTATATAGCTCTATGTTGTCTCTATCTTGCACAGAATTGTTTAGAACTGACGCTTTTGTTCGTAGGGAGTGAGCTCCACAGGAGTTGACTGCGAAACGTGCGGTAAAAAGCTGAACGATTGTGTAGGACACTTCGGCTACCTGGATCTAGAACTGCCAGTCTTTCACGTTGGCTACTTCAGATCTATCATCCAGATTTTGCAGACGATTTGCAAGGTAATGCGTAACTTTATCGAGATTTAACAATTTTTGCCAATTGCGACCCGTACTGACAAATAAAATTTCTACAGAGTTGCGCACACGTGTTGCTAACGTCCGAAGAAAGAAGACATTATTCGCGCAAAATACAAAATCCGAATCTAGGATATTTATCGCGTAAAGCGTTGCGTAAGCAAATCTGGGAGAAAGCGAAAAAGAAAACGGAATGTCCGAATTGTAAAGCAAATAACGGCCCTGTGAAAAAGGCTGGTTTTTTAAAAATTGTACATGAGCAGTACAAGAATTTAAAAAAGACAGATCCTATTATTCAAGAGAAATTGGCTGAATTGGCCCCAAAGATGGATCGCGACAGAGAATTTAAGAATACAGTGGAGCAAAATTACAGAGCTGTACTTGATCGATATCTGTATCCGACCGTGGTATGATTTAAAGATGGAATATTATATGTTATAATTGTTTAATATACATATTTGTGTGTGTACAATTTATATAATTTTATAACATACGGACATTCTTTAAGGTTGAAGAACTTTTTAAAAGAATTCCAACGGGCGATATGTGTCTCTTGTTAATGAATCCTAACTGTGCAACACCAGTAGATTTGATACTAAGAAGGATTCCTGTGCCACCAATTTGTATTAGACCTAGCGTTTTATCTGACCTAAAGGCTGGTACAAATGAGGATTATCTGACGATGAAACTGTCAGAAATAGCACTTATCAATGACGTTATTCGCAGACAAAATGGAGTTAATGTAAATTTGTACATGGAACATTGGGATTTTCTTCAACTGCATTGTGGTCTTTATATCAATAGCGAAATGTCTGGAATACCTCTACATATGCAAGTAAGTTCTGAACAAATATCTGAAGATCTGTGCCTTCTTTTCTCTAATAATATACGGTGATTCTTTTAGCCTAAGAAGTTTGGCAGAGGTATAGTACAAAGACTGAAAGGAAAACAAGGTCGTTTCCGAGGTAATTTGTCTGGTAAACGTGTTGATTTTACTTCTCGTACAGTAATTTCGCCCGATCCAAACCTCAGGATAGATCAAGTAGGTCCCGTGACAAATTTAAGCCGACAATGATGGTACAATGTGTTTTATAATATTGAATCTCTACGCAGGTTGGTGTACCTATACATGTTGCAAAGACCTTAACGTATCCTGAAAGGGTTATTCCGTCAAACATAGAACTAATGCGAAAATTAGTCAGAAATGGCCCGGACATACATCCTGGAGCGAACTATATACAATATAAGCACTCGCAAAACAGGCGATACCTTAAATACGCCGATCGAAATAAAGCCGCTCAAGATTTACAGGTAATCTCCATACATTAACATGGTCTATATGGTATATATATATATATATGTCAGGGCTTTATATTCAAATATACCAATTGCCTTTTTATAGTACGGTGACATTGTCGAGAGGCATCTTAAAGATGATGATTTAGTGCTGTTCAATCGGCAGCCATCCTTGCACAAATTAAGCATAATGACACACAGAACCAAGGTATTGGAGCATCGAACGTTCAGATTCAACGAATGCGTCTGTACACCATATAATGCAGACTACGATGGTGACGAAATGAATCTTCATTTGCCGCAGACTGAGGAAGCCAGAGCGGAAGCGTTGGTTTTGCTAGCGGTAAATACCTGATCGATATACTTCTGTAAAATTATTGAATTGCGTATAAATATGCTGAAATATTATGTTTTTTGTCTTCAGAATAAATCCAATCTTTGTACACCTCGCAATGGTGACTTATTGATAGCAGCAACGCAAGATTTTATCACCGGTGCTTATCTCTTGACCCACAAGGACACGTTTCTCCAGATAGAGCAAGTTAGATTAGCTCTTTGCCTCTTAGCCGGCCCAGACGCTTCCATGGTCGTAACTGTTCCTCCGCCTGCAATCGTAAAACCGACGAGATTATGGACTGGCAAACAAATATTCAGCTTGATTATACGACCAAACATGGAATGTCCTGTCAGAGCAAATTTAAAAGCAGAGGGCAAGAAGTACGATAAAGAAAAAAACCAAGAAGAATTGTGTGATAATGACTGTTGTAAGTTGTAATGACTTTCATAAGCTGTATATTGTAATCTTTTTTACGTATGTTTCTTTACGTTTGTTAAATGATCAAATTAAATCCACAGATATCATCATACGCAATTCCGAGCTTCTAGCGGGAACAATGGATAAATCTGTATTAGGCTCAGGATCGAAGCAAAATATATTTTACGTTCTGCTGCGTGATTGGGGCGAAGATGTTGCAATCACAGCTATGTGGCGTTTAACCAGAATAACAAATCATTTTAATTTTGACAAAGGAATTTCTCTTGGTATCGGTGACCTTATACCCGGTCAAGGCCTTCTTCAAGCCAAGGAAAAAGTGTTGAACGATCAGTACGAATATTTCCAAGTTTAAATTCGACAGATTGCTTCAAACAAATAACTAATCTCAATTCTTCTTTTTTTCAGTTACTCCAAATGTAACGAATACATTCAACAACTGGAAAAGGGTCTTCTCGTTTGTCAACCTGGATGTTCAGAAGATGAAACACTGGAAACGAAAATACTGAAAGAGCTTTCGGTGATTCGTGACAACCTTGGTAAAGTGTGCCTAAAGGAACTTCACCCTACTAACACGCCCTTAACTATGGCACTCTGTGGAAGTAAGGGAAGTGAAATTAACATTTCTCAAATGATCGGTAAGTTTAAGTAAACATATAAATATATTACTGTTCTTAATTATTCTGATGCTATTTGACACAATTTCTCTCTTCAGCTTGCGTAGGCCAGCAAGCTATCAACGGGCGAAGAGTACCGAACGGATTCGAAAATCGTGCATTACCTCACGTTTTGGCACGTTTAAAGACGCCAGATGCTAAAGGCTTCGTGGAAAATTCATTTTATTCTGGATTAGTGTCCAAGGAATTCATCTTTCATGCGATGGGCGGTCGGGAGGGTCTCACGGATACCGCTGTGAAAACTGCGGAGACCGGATACATGCAGAGGCGGTTGATCAAGAGTTTAGAGGACCTGTGTATCCATTATGACATGACAGTGCGCAATTCGATGCACGATATCATACAGGTTCCGTACGGCGGAGATGGATTGGATCCTACGTACATGGAAGGTATGTGAACGTTATTCTGCATTTCGCGTGTAAACGGGATAACACATATTTTTTTACAGGTAAAGACTGTCCTGTGGACTATAAAAGAGTGTACGATCATGTGAGAGCGAAAATGCCTTATAAAAATGAAGAGTCTTTGAATGCTAAAGACGTGGTAACTGCCACAGACGACATGCTAAACTCTGAGGAGTACAATTGCCTAAGTGAAGAATTTAAACAGGAACTGACGTAAGATAATATATAATAAATATATGATACTCGACAAATTTTAGTACTTCAGCTTCGACGAATTGAACGTTGTTTTTCGCAGAGTATTCCTGAAATCGGAAGTCGCGCGAAAAATAGCATATTATCGACAGAACATCACATCGAAAACATCACTCGAAACTCAAAAGGTGATCTTGCAACTCGAACGTCTCACCGTCTCGCAATTGGTAGAGTTTATTCACACGTGTAAGGAGAAGTACATGAGAGCTAAGATTGAACCGGGCACTGCTGTAGGCGCACTCGCCGCGCAAAGTATCGGCGAGCCGGGAACTCAGATGACACTTAAAACGTTCCACTTCGCCGGTGTAGCGGCCATGAACATCACTCAGGGTGTGCCACGTATTAGAGAAATTATTAACGCGAGTCCGAAGATCAGTACTCCCATCATAACAGCGGCCTTGGTAAGTAACTAATTGTACTCTGACCACACGCGTGTTCTATGTGGAATTGGATCTTAATCATCTAATCCTTTATTTTGCAGGTCAATGATAAAGATTCTGAGTTTGCCGAACGAGTGAAGGCAAGAATCGAGAAAACGACTCTGGGAGACGTAGCTGAATATATCAAAGAAGTATATACGCACAATGATCATTACCTTGTAATAAAATTAAATATCGATAGGATTAAATTGTTGAAATTAGAAATTAATGCTGAATCTGTATGCAAGAAGTAAGTATGTTTAAAAGCTTAAGTTTTTTATTTTTGTATTTTTATTACAACCATTAATCTAACCGACTGTTAACTATCGAAGTTGCCAACTCCTGTTGGCTATTCTGAGAAGTTAACGGTTAGTTAGAAGTTAACAGAACGTTGGAAATAGTGGCCATAATTTAATTTATTCCAATATGTAATCGCAAAAAATAAGAATTTACTTGATTTCTTTCGTTTCATGTCATAACTCGATGTAACTATACTAACTATAGTGAAAAAACAAGAGTTTTAATAGTATACACTTTAAGTTTATAAGTAATTTTTTATTAACATGCTTTGGATATTATAATTGGATTCGATAACAAATGATTTATGCTTCTCTAGACTCTGTGTTTCAAAATTGAAGCTGGTACCAGAAAATATAAAAGTGTTATCCGACCAGTCAACTATTGTTATTCGGCCAAGTCAACAAAAAGGTAGTTCAAATTTTCCATTTCGTCAATTGACAGAGGCTATTCCAAATATTGTAGTAAAGGTAAAAATATGTAATACGATAAATTTCAGTAGAGTGTTAATTCATGATATGGGAATTATTTAATGTATGTTTATTTTTATTTGCAGGGCTTGCCATCAATCAATAGAGTAATTGTGCATAATGACAACCTCGGAAAAATAGATAAATTTACACTATTTGTCGAAGGAGATAATTTTAGAGACGTTATGGCAACATCCGGTATCCTCGGCAAGAAGACGAAGTCGAATAATACGATAGAAGTGAGTTGAGAAAAACCATGCGAATATTGGATAAAAGAATTTATGATTGATTCCATCTTAGGTTTTCAATACGCTCGGAATAGAAGCAGCGAGAGCAACCATCATGTCGGAAATTAAATCGGTAATGGAAAATCACGGAATTAGTATTGATTGTCGACATTTAATGCTCTTGGCAGATTTAATGACTAGCAGAGGAGAAGTGCTTGGTATTACGAGACAAGGATTGGCAAAAATGAAAGAATCGGTTTTAAACTTGGCATCGGTGAGATTTTTTATTTTTCATTATTTCACCCATTTCTTTTACGTGCTTTTTATTATACAATGTGGAATTCTTAAGCTTGGTTTTTTGGTTTTTAAATTTAATTTTAAGTATTTATAGTATTTTAAGGAGAATCGGAAATACTTTTCGTAAACTAATTATTAATTTACAGTTTGAAAAAACGGCGGATCATCTATTTGATGCGGCTTATTATGGACAAAAAGACAGTATATGCGGCGTATCGGAATCAATCATAATGGGTATTCCAGTTCCACTAGGCACGGGAATCTTCAAACTGCTTCACAAATATCCTTTTCATATTACATTTATATATAGGTATACGCGAAAAGTTAACTATTATATTTTTTATACAAAAAGATGGCGCATAACTGGATATTCTTAATATATATTCTCATAATTTTCCTTAATAATGAAACACAGCAGATAAAAGTGAACCAAGCAAGAAAGAGCTTCTATTTGATGATCCACAGTTTCACAAGCCACTCCGTTCTGGAAGACGACTCCAACGAATACGACCGCGTCCAATATTACAAGTTTAGAATTAATAAAATATTTTATAATTAATGACAAGGAAAAATAAATTAATTTAATAAAAAAAAGATATCCTTTCACGTACTGTACAGTTTTTGTATTAATTCTAATCATATCACTTATGTGCAAAGCATTATTTAATTTATATATGATGATGATTATATATAAAAGTATTATTAAATACTTTTATATATAATATACGATTATATTATATATTTATTATTACAATTATAATGATGATATAAGAGTTATAAGAATAAATTAAAACTCTTATTAAAAAGCTTTTCCTATCTCACACAACCGCGTATTTGTCAGAAAACTTAGCCTTACAAAAATAAGATACGAGAGAATTTCTTTTCAATAATTTGTACACAAGAAAAATTAAGTTATTTGTATGTTATATTAAGTCTTATAGCTTGGAACAATATTTAATCATATAAAATTTCAAAATAAAATTATTGTTCAATTGACTGAGTAGGTGCAACTCTTCGGTTGTGTTGTGCAGTTCGTAGACATTCGTGTAATTCTTCTGCACTGTGTATTTCTTCAATATGAAGGTTGGTTGATGACTATTATTATATACTGGACTTTTTTAATCTCATATGAAATAAAGAATTTCGAAAATTGACAAACTATCAGGAGAACATAATTAGCAAGGAGGTTGAAATTTAGTAATTTAGTTTATTTATTCAGTATTTACACGATTATGGTTACTGACAGTAAATATCGGAATGCCTATATAAAAGTATTATTAAATACTGATAGTTTGTCAATTTTCGAAATTCTTTATTTCATATGAGATTAAAAAAGTCCAGTATATAATAATAGTCATCAACCAACCTTCATATTGAAGAAATACACAGTGCAGAAGAATTACACGAATGTCTACGAACTGCACAACACAACCGAAGAGTTGCACCTACTCAGTCAATTGAACAATAATTTTATTTTGAAATTTTATATGATTAAATATTGTTCCAAGCTATAAGACTTAATATAACATACAAATAACTTAATTTTTCTTGTGTACAAATTATTGAAAAGAAATTCTCTCGTATCTTATTTTTGTAAGGCTAAGTTTTCTGACAAATACGCGGTTGTGTGAGATAGGAAAAGCTTTTTAATAAGAGTTTTAATTTATTCTTATAACTCTTATATCATCATTATAATTGTAATAATAAATATATAATATAATCGTATTTATGGATCTGATACTGCTCAAAGCTATAAGACCTAATGTAACATGCAAATAACTTAATTTTTGTGTTGTGTACAAATCATTAAGATTCTTGTGTTATTTTTGTAACGCCAAGTTTTCTAACAAATACACGGTTTTGTGTGAAAACCTTTTTAATAAGAGTTTTAATTCATTCTTAACTCTTATATCATATGATTATAACAATAAATATCACACGTCCCACACAATTGTGACAATTACAAAAATTAAATAACTTAGTCGTATTGAAAATTGGCACAGAGTTGGGACCTCTGTTCATTGGCTGAAAAAAATTGCTAATTTTGTTGCTAAGAGACAGTATTGTTTGATCTAAATCCGTTCCCTACCTACATCTTCGTACGCGTATATAATCTCTTACAACATTCAATTAAAATGTTTTAATGTATAACCCAGTATCGAAAGAAAGACATCAGGTACTGAAATGGTGAATGAAAAGGAATTTTGGACGGAAGTGCGAAAAGATATACCGCGATATAAAAAAAGAAAGCCACGAGTAGTTCCTGCATTCACTATCCAGGCAATGCAGGTAATGCGCATTGATGCGCATTATAGAATAATGACATCTGATGAACGTAACGCGATAATATGGTGTCAATTTTGATACAGGAAAACACGGTCGTTGCGAAACCTCCGCGGTGTGGACTGTACAAACCTCGTTCACCGAAACCGTCGATTTTTAGGAAATTTTACAAGCGTGGCGTATTCCCTATCTCTTTGGAGAACGACGGCTACGATCAGAAAATTAATTGGAAAGTAGATATAGAAAATTTGGATTTCCATCATTATTTGCCAATGTTCTTCGATGGATTAACGGAAATAGAACAACCGTATAAGTTTCTGGTAGAGCAAGGAATATCAGATATGTTAGAGCATGGTGGGCCAAAGATATTGCCTGTTGTTCCTCAATTGATTATTCCTATTAAGAGTAAGTTCTATAATCCAATTTAAGATATGTAGAAAAGATATTCATATCGTAATTAAAAAGACTTTGTTAGACGCTTTGAATACAAGAATGCCTGAGATAATCTGCACCACCATGAAAGCACTTCAACGTTTAGTACGATCTGCTGATTGCGTTGGCGAAGCTTTAGTCCCGTATTTTAGGCAAATCTTGCCTATTCCAAACTTACTCAAAGATAGAAATGGTAAGGACTCGTCTGTTTAACACTTACTGTATTCGTATACAAATAGAATCAAGATTTCTTGTGATTTCAGTAAACCTTGGGGACGGTATCGATTATTCTCAGCAAAGAGGAGAGAACGCAGCGGATATTATACAAGAAACGCTTGAAATCTTGGAAAGATACGGTGGCGAAGATGCTTTCATAAATATTAAATACATGGTTCCCACATACGAATCCTGCATGATGAATTAATAGGTAGAAGATGACACTATCACTATTATCTTTTTAATAGATTTATTCTTTATTCATAAAAATATAATTATCACAAAATCAAAATGCATGCAAAATTTCACAAGTTATATATAACATAAGACATAATATAATGGAAAAAAAAAGAATATTAACATATATATATTATGAAAATATGTACTGTATTATTACTTGGAACTTGAAATTAATAATGACATATTACGTGGAAACAATATATTATTTAAAAATTCATAAAAGAAATATTTATTAGAGATAATAAAAGCAAAATTTTTCACTATCACACAGTAACGCACGCATCTTGCATCAGCGTAGAAAAAGTATGACAATAGTAAAAATAGTAGTAATGTTTTTTGATGATACAATATTATATCTCAAAAAGTATACTTATATCTTTCCTGTATCTTCTTTCAATGTTACAGTGCGATTGAAAACAAGCTGAAATAAAAGAGAAAAAAAATGTTAACGCAAAATGTATATGTGTGCTGTTATTTTTACACTTACCTTATTAGGTTTGGTATCGGGATCGACAGAGAAAAAGCCTATACGTTCAAATTGAAACTTATCATATATTTTTGCTGTTTTAGCTAGACTGTTGTCCATGTACGCTACAATTTCTTTTTTGCTGGATGGATTAATATCACTTAAAAATCCATGCGGTACCTCATTTGTATCCTCCGGATTTTTGTGTTTGAATCTGAGAAATTAAAGATATTTTTATTACATTACCAGTGTAAAACCTTCATAATTAATCATTTGAAAAATGTTACTCACAAACGCTCATATAGTCTAACAGATGCCAGTACTGGATGGGACACCCAATGTATAAATGCCTTCGGTTTATTCTTCTCGGAAACAGGATCCTGTCTAACAATTATGTTTGTAATGTTACCGCTGGCATCCTTCTCGATACTTTCAAACGTTACTACGACACCTGCATGCTTTAACCCTACAGGTTGTTTTGGTGTTAAGCGTCTAAAACCTTTCTCTTCAATCTACAAATATTGATATCCAGATAAAATCATAACTGCAAAAAATTTTCAAAAAGGTGCAGGAATATATACTGCATACTTCTTTGAAGTCTGTGGCTTCAATGTATACAATCTCGTCAAATGTAATTTCATGATGGCCCCTTTCTGGCTCGTTAGGAAAATCGGGTACGGTGAGCTTTATGGCATTCTCTTGAGGGAAATTTTTGATAGTTAATTTGATAGGTTCTAGAACCACCATATGTCGGGCAGCAGTGAGATTTAGAACATCCCTAACAGCCGCTTCCAACGCTGCAGGATCGACGGTCGCTTGTGCACCAGTTACACCCATTTGAGCACAAAAATTGTTTATAGCTTCCGGTGGAAATCCACGTCTACGCAGCGCAGTCAACGTAAACAATCTATTAAAAAAAGGCAATATAACGCATTAGTAATACATCATTAATAAAATATAAAGATAGTATCCGTTATATTATACCTGGGATCATCCCAATCGGACACTATTCCTTCTTCTATTAATTTGGCAATTTTTCTTTTAGAAACTACAGTATAATTGACGTTCAATCGACCGTATTCCCACTGTACGGGACAATAAATATCCAAAGAATTGCAGAGCCAATAATAAGACGATCTCCGCGACTGGAATTCCTTTGTGCAAAGAGAATGAGTGATATTTTCGATGCTATCGCACAAGCAATGGGTGTAATCGTATGTGGGATAGATGCACCATTTATCACCAGTTCGGTGATGCGGCGAATATTTTATTCTGTATGCAACAGGATCTTGCTTGCCTTCCTCTAAAGTCACTTTCATACGTAAGGTTGCCTCTCCTTCTTCTAACAAACCATCTTTCATATCCTTTTAAAAAAAAGTAAGCATATATGTAGCATTTAGGAGACAAAGAAGAAAGACAATAAGCTCTAAGTACAAATTTTTCATTACATTAAATAGCTGCAAGCTTTCTTCAATTGGCCTATCGCGCCAAGGACTCGGTGGAGGATTGAAACCTTTTATTTCCTCGCTAGATTGATGACAAACATAGGCTAAACCTTTTTTTATAAGCTCTTTGGCCCAGTCGCACAATTGCTCGAAATAGTCCGATGAATGCGTAATCGCAGCCGGTTTGTAACCAAGCCATTCCACCATTTCCCGTATACCGACAAAAAACTTCTCCTCTTCTTTTTCAGGATTTGTATCATCATATCGTAAGTAGCACATACCATCATAAGCGGCAGCATATCTGTGAGATACATCTTTTTCATAATGTATTTCGCTTTCAAGACCGAAGAAAATACATACCCGAAGTTGATATTGATGGCTTTTGCATGTCCAATATGCAAAATTCCGTTGGGTTCCGGTGGGAATCTCGTTATCACTTTGCCACCAGTGGCTTTCAAATGTTTCTGCAGCAGATTGTGAGTATTTGGCGTCACGATGTAACCGTCGGTTTTATAATTTTCCCCAGGCTTATGAAAGTGAACTTTGGTCTTCATGAGTTCGCTTATAGTTTGTGCTCCTCCCTTCTCACCAGTCGACGTCTCCTTTTGTTCTGAAAATTTATCAATCTTTCATTGAACATCCGTCCAGAATATTTTTTCAACAGTGGCCATATATAGCTCACCTTCCTTCACTTCTGGCTTCTTTGCTTTTGTCTGATTGTCCTTCGGCTGTTTCACTTGTTTAGGCACTGGTGCAAGGTCAGCGTCAACTTTTGGACCCAACAAATCAAGGAGTTGGACATCAAATTCATTCTTTATCGCTTTACCATCCGCCCATTTCAAAATATTGCGTACTTGTTGCATCAATGGACCAGAATTAAAGCGGTATCTATTAGAAGATATAAATTATAATTACTTATCGTAAAAAAACAATTTCAACAATTTTTCTCTCATATGTTACATAATTAATAAGATAGTTTTATTTACCTCTTTTCCAATATCTCATCTTTGTGCGCCTTTATAATCTTCTCCACTTCCTCTTCTATTCGTTCAGGTAAAACTACCACTCCTACGCCACAAGATTCTTCAAACTTGGTTATATCAAGATCGTTGCTCACGTTAGCTAACAGGTAAGTCAATGCGGCGTCCACCCTCTGTACACTGTCTAATTTCTTCTCAACTATGTAATTAGTAATAACCGGTATCTTATCTGCAATCTGGTTTTTGATCTTGGAAGCTAGATGGTACAGTAAAACCCCAGTATCTTGAGTGATAGACCCATGTTTAGCTGCCTATAAAAATTAAATAGAAGTTCTAAATATACATATAAATAAGCAAATTTTAATAACAAACATCCTGCCACACACACATATAAATATATTACGCAAAATGTATGATGTAAATGCATCAAATGTAGCAAACAATAATGATGCAACAATTTTTATGAATCGCAATACAATAATGTTCCGATTATATATATTCCTGAAAATACCTTAATATTTAACTTAAAATCTATTATATTTAATTTAATATTTGAATTAATTAATTTTGATAATAGAACTCGACGAACTCGTGGTATCTAACATTCAATCGTTTCGACTAAGATTCGCCGGTGAATCCTCACCAACCTCGCTTATAGCCAACTTGAGATTCTTCGTGACGTTCGCATTTTTCAGGGTCTCCTTGGCCTTCTGCTCGCTCAGGCCGATCGTTTGAAACAGCTTCACGTCTTCCTCGTTCCCTACCGGCATTTTATTCGGAAAATACAACTGTCACACCACAGAGGAACCAGAAACCACGTGCGTGCGTTCGCCAAGCGACTGAAGCGACCATATGGGCCGCTCATATCGCTGCTTTATCAACAGGGAAAAGTTATTGATTAATTGGAATCCGTCCATTGGCTCGTGGTCGATGCTTGATGTGCGTCGGTGTTGGTCGATGTGTATGTACGGAGTACGGACTACGGACACATACGTCACATACCGAAGTATGTGCTTCGTAAATACATGCTTCTTTAAAACGCGACGCAAATGAAACGGGCGATTCGTCCTAACAAAAGTCCAGCGAGAAACGATGATATTTGGGTAGAGATGATGTTTAGTGATGTCCACCAGCTAAATGAGAGGTAGCACCGTAAAGATGACGCCTAAGCGGAAGGCAAGTGTATTTGTAGGTTATGGCAGCTGTAGAGCTAACTTCTATGCATTGTCTTTATTTATCATCGTGATAAATACGTTTGTTTGTTTTTATTGTCTTTTTCATTAATTTGAAAATTGATTCTTCAAACTTTATGCTTTAAGGAAAATCTTTTGCCCAAAATATACACATGTCAAGGTACTGTATATAATATACATGTTATTTTGTAGACTACCAGTTCGGAATCTACATCAACGAGCAGCTCTGGCTCTTCGACAAGTAGCACGTCGAGTTCAGGGAGCGAATCCAGCTCGTCCGACTCGGAGAACTCCAGTAGTTCCGCCAACAGTCAAAAAGCGTCCGATACAGAAAGAACTAAGAAAAAAGCGCCGTTTCCAGTCACCCGTCATGTCAAGTCCAAGACCGAAACAACATCTGCACCGCCTTTGGAAAATAAAAATAAAGACAGGCAGCCACCGAAACCCAGATCGTCGGTGTACTCTTCCGAGTCAGAAGAATCGCCCAGCAAAGCAAAAACGCCACAAAAGAGGAAGCCACCAGCTAAACCAAAGGCTACCGCTACCGTGGCACCAGTTGTGAAGACTCAGAGATCTCCTACAAAACCAGTGCCTGCATCGGGACAGCATAAAACTGCACCAGTTTCAAAACCTACCAATGCCAAGCCCAACAAATTTTCTGGTGAGTTCATTATTTTGACTTTGTCAAACATTTTATATTCTACGTGATAAAATGTATGTTTTTATGAAGTGATACATAGATGCGATACCTTTGAAGGTTCTACAAGTGCCACCAGCAAACCTCCCGAAAAATCTGGGAAAACAACGGAACCAGTTCAGAAGAAATTGAAGAAGAAAAGTATATTTAGTCCAGAAAATAGTAGCGAAAGTGACAGCGGCGTTTCGGCAAAAGTTAGCGCAGTGAAGCCAACAGGTAGTTCTGCAAAATGTTCCAAAAATCCACCAGCTAAAGCAAAATTGAGTGACACCAAGCAAAAACCTACAGCAGCAAGCAGACCTGGTAAAGAATTCTCACTTATATACCAATAATCGCAAATATTTTGATTTTTTAAATATAAATTTAATACAACACTGTTTTTAATGTTTATTTCCTGTAGTCGCGAAACCTGTGCAACCACAAAAGTCAGACAGTTCCGCGAGTTCAAAGAGTTCTGGCGGTTCAGCGTCCTCAGGTAGCTCAGACAGTAGCTCCGATTCGGAATCGTCCGAAAGCGTCACTAGTTCTCAGCCTCAACCAAAAAAGAAGGAAACGCAATCTAGTACGTTGACGAATAGTACTGTGACGAGTGTGCCACCTAAGAGGCCCTCGGCAGCAGTCGCCCCGGTAAAGCCGCAAAAAGCTGTTACAAGACGGCAAGGTTTGTTAAATTCCTTACCAATGCGTTGATGCGTTGATTAAAGAATAAAGAAATAAATATAATTTTTTAAACAGGTGCTAAAGGTCTAAAGAGCGACAATGATGGAGATGCGTCCGCGAGTGAGAAAGAGATGGATGATCGTGAAGCGTCATCTTCGAAAACAGTGACGAAAGGCAAGCGGAAATTGCAAACACGCAAAGGAAGTAAATTACTCCAGCTACAAGCAAAGGCAGACACTGATTCCGAATCTGATACAGGTATATATTCAAAAAATGGTTTTATATCTTGATGAAAGTTGTTCAATACCAATACTCAATTTAAAAAATGATAGTATGTGAGCATGTCAGCAAATTGTGCTAATTTGCATAATTTGTTGAAAATAGCTGAGAGCAAGAGAAGCACGAGCAAATCGCCTGTTAAACGTGCTGGACCGTCCGCTGCCGCCAGACAATCCTCCGGAGCCGGTAGATCAACGCAGAACAGTGGTACTACTACAGGTGGCAGAAATCAATCATCTTATAATCGAGCACGTGCAACGAAGGAGCGTGAATGTCCGCTAGCTGCGTCCTGCGATTCACGGGGTCATCTCTCTGGAAAACTCGATTTGCACTTTACTCTGGAAGCATGTCCGCTGTATCACAACACTACGCCCCAGGCTTGTGTGTAAGTTGCAGCTCAGATTCCAGTTTGAGATCAATAATGATGTTAAATCAAATTAAAAACACATGCGTTTGATGGCAAATGTAAAATAATATTGACTTTTTCCAGAGAGTTTTATAAAGAGAGAAAAAAACGAGAGGAAGAACGCAAGAAGGCAATAATAAATCTAGCCAAGAAACCTAAAGGTGTTCATCAAACTAGCGAACAACGTAACTACCAACTTAAAGTACGTGAGATGAGGAACAAATGGAAGGGTAATACCGGCGATGGTAATGAAAGCGATAGCGGCGGTGAAATGCAGGGGAACGAAAAGGACAAGCAGCCTCGGCTCAATAATCTTACACCTGATTATGACTTGAAATTATTTATGGAGGCCCAGGCGATAGCCAGTGAAAAAATCGTAAGTCTTCAATTTATACCTCAGTTAATATAGTATTACACTATGAATAATTGATATTTTTAAAACTTAAATTGATTTTTATTAAATTTATTTTTGATATATTTTCTTTCAAGTGCATATTATTGAGCTCTTCTATACGTCAATGCTTATTTTACATTTAAGGAAAAAGAGTTACAAGAATTGGACTACGATGGAGAAGGTAGAAACAGTGGTGGCACTAGAGTTGTGGAAATGGGAAAATGGGAAATGGAAGTTTGGTATCAAAGCCCGTATCCCGAAGAATATAGTCGCGCCCCGAAGCTTTATCTTTGCGAATATTGCTTGAGATACGCGAAAAGCCGTCAAGTTTTGAGGAGACATCGAGAGAAGTGTTTGTGGAGACATCCCCCGGGACACGAAGTATACAGGTAACCACATTTCAATGAATATTCTTCTTCTATTATTTACGCTCACATTTTATACCATGGAGCATTTGTAAAATTTTGAACGAATATATCCGTGAAATATTAGGTAATCTAGATTAACAATAAATAATAAAATTTCTCTCTTTAATTTTTATATATTTTGGATTATATTTTTTGCTAAAGTTGTGTAACGTCTGTAATGCTTTAGGATGATAATCCAAATTATTGCATATCTGATTTGTCGTTTCACAGAAAAGACAAAATAGGCGTGTGGGAAGTGGACGGTAAGCGATACAAGCAGTATTGTCAGAATCTTTGTTTACTGGCCAAATTCTTTCTGGATCACAAAACGTTGTACTACGACGTCGAGCCGTTTCTTTTCTACGTCATGACAATCGGCGATTCTGAGGGCTGCCATACCGTCGGATACTTCAGCAAAGTGAGTACATACCTACTTGATGAATCACCATGTCAGTTTTTATTCGGTTCACGGAAATATTGTACGCGATTGCGCCGTCGTTATTTCTCGAGTGTCGAGATTGTAACTGTATCGTCGCTGTTCGAAACGTTCTCGCGAAGCCCCAAAAACCTCGAAATTTTTCATCAATTCCAATTCGACGGAACCGACAAGTTCCATCGTTTGGTCTATACGATCCCCGGGTTTTCTTTCCGCGGCTTAGCCGGCTCTCACCCCATCGTTCTCATAATAGCACCCACGTAGCGTGCACGGATTACGCGAACAAGGGTACGCCTCGTAGAGAAGAGGGTGTCTCGTATCTCTGACCTTTCTTCACTCCCACCCTTCCCTCCCATCCTCCCTCTCGCCGCCACCAGGCCTGGCGTACGCATACACACGTTGCCCCGAGGAGTAGAGCGAGGGTGGGAATCACGCATGCCTATTTACCGTGGGACACAGCATCGCTGGGAGTCGAAATCTTTACCGACGTTCAACGACCTCTGACCCTGGCAAGACGCGCCGCCAATCCGCGCCTCAACCCCTTTTTTTCTCTCCCTTCCCTCCCCTTTCGTGGAGATGTGGCGAGAATTTTCTCCGGACCTCGACTTAAACCTTTTCTCTCACCCTCCCTAATTCCTTTGTCTTTCGTCTCACGCCGGGAGACGTCTATCCTGCGCGACCGACGATCCGTCTCCGTCTCAAAACCCCCATTCTCCTACTTCTTTCTCTATTCTACGAAAAAGAAATCCCGCTAGATAACGTGGGAGTGAGATGAAAGGGAGAATTATCCGTTTTACAAATTGTTACGCCAACGTTGACAAGAGAATCGTTTTGTCAGATCTTTAACACTTGTCTTCAATTGACTCGACTATCTCATTTCATTTTATTATGCAAGGCATCCCACTTTTACTGAATTATTCTGCGGACTTTTTGACCAATTTTGGAGTCGACGTCCTCTTAGCGAGAACGTCGGAACACTTATAATCGTTCAGTAATTAATCAATTCCGCAAATCGACCGAAGAAGTCGTTGAAAAGTGATTAAGATATATTTAGAAATTATCTTTTGTTTCTTACTTTTTAGCAGCCGCAAATTTAATTTCAGCAATTTTTATTCGTGATGCGTTCGATCAACTATACACAATTGATCGAAGATATCACGCTTTGATAACAGAAATTGTACGAAACATCTAATCTTTATCGTTATTGCCGAGGGTGTCAAATCGCGTTATGTCTCGCGTAAAAGAGGGCGTGTCCCGCCGTGAAATATTCATTTAAGTTCTCGAAGTATCCCCTTCGTTCAGAATTATATCACGACATACGTAAGCTCTCGGTAAATTCCGCACGAGTCGCTTACTCTTCGATCTAAAATAATGTTTCAACTTTAAAATGTCAGTTTTAACGAGGATATAAGGATGACGTCTTTAGAAGAGGATTCGTCTAACTCTCGAAGTAATTGCGTCGTGCGTCACTCTTTGATTAACTTTTAGATAAAATGCCTTAAATCGGGGACAATGCCCCTATCGTATATTAATATCTTGGATTCAGGACAGACGTGTGTAATTCCGAGCACACGTTACGCGCGCGGCCACGAATCCCTTTACCTGCGAAAATAGACTGACATTGGTTCTCGTTTCACGGTATTAATATCTATTAATATCGGCGAATCATCCCGATGCATCTCCTCCGCTGGCCGACTGGCAAATTATGTTACACTCCGTATAAAAGGGCGTAACTCGCTTCCTGCATCCGCAGCAGTAGTGGCGGCGGCGCGAAGTCAAAATCTTTATAGACGTTCAATGACCCCGACCCTGGCCAGACGGTCGCAGGGTAACACCGGCGGTGGTAGTGATGGTGGTGGTGGTGGTGGTGGTAGTGGCGACGGCCGGGACACGAGGGATGAAGGGTGCGAGGGAAAGAGAGCGAGAGAGAGAGAGAGAGAAGGGCGGGAGAGGGTTGAGGGTGGTCCTGCTGCTGGCGTACGTACGCTATGCATGCGCTTCAGTAGAGACCAGGTGGAGGAAGGCGCGAGGGTAGGAAGGGTAGTCGAGCGGTTGGGTGGTTTAGGCGGTTGGCCGATGGCGGTGGCCCTGGAGAGGTGGTAGTAGCTGCCGCGGAAGGGGTTGTGCCGACGGTTGCGGAGGGTGTCGGCGCAGGAGGGGAAGGAGGGCGTCGCCTGCCGCGTCGGGTCGTCAACCTTTCTGCGGCACTGCGACGTCGTCGGGGTCGTTATTATTTCCTCCTCTTTCCCCCCCTATTCCCTCTCCTTCTCCACAGCTCCTTCTCATCCTCCTTCTGATCCCAGCGTGTCTTTGCACGCTCTGGTCGTCTCTCCGTCGCTCTTTCCCGTTCTTCCGGTACCACCTCTTCGAGGTGGCGCGTGTTGTTCTCCTCCCGTCCTCTTCTTCGTGTCCCGTCTTTCCGTTCGGCTCGTCTTAACACGCTCCTTCGACGCTACCCTCCGTGTTTCGATCCATCTTCGTATCCTTCTTCGTTCGTTCGCTCGCACGGCTTCCGAGGTCGCGAGATTTCGCCTTCAACGATCGCTCATGCGTGTACATTCGTTCCCTCTTTCTCCCTCTTTCTTCCTCTTTCTCTTCGGATAGGTAAGCAGTCCGTGCGGTGTCTTTTATCTTCACATTCTACTTGGCTTCTTATACAAGCTTCTTGTCCTCCTCGATCTATCTCTCTTGTCGCATGCGCGTAATTCTCGCATCGTTCTCTGATCGTTCACGCAAGTTTGCTCGATTAATCTTCATTTCACTTCAGTAGGTTCAAAATATTAATATGTTTAAAGTATATAATCATGATCGCGTTCACGAATGCCATTCATCTAATGAGAAATTTGTCGACTTGACAGAAGAATCGGAGGTTCGTGCTTAAAGCTAAATCCGAGGCGGATATCCGAGTATCTTACGTCTCTACGTCCCACAATGATACCGTCATCGTCGCCTCCGGCTCGTTCTCCTCCTTCATCTGATCTTTCTAATACGACACCACCGGTCGATCGCGGTGAATATCGGATTGATATTGAATTTCCAAGCGTTCGCTTGTCTTTGAGCGCCCGCAACGTTCCACCGACCGGTTTCGCTCGCTCGGCTTCAACCTCGTTCCCTGCTCGCGTTTCCTCGCGTTTCCTCGCGTCGAATTTCATCCCTGTCCTCCGTATTCGCTTTTCCGTTCCCCTCGCCGTTGCCGTCGTCGCCATCGTCGTCATTGCTGCCGTCGCGTTAAACCACAATGTCGGCGTCTCACCTTGACGTTGCGGAACGACTACCATCTTGAGGCGATCACCCGAGATTTCTGAGAGTATAAGCGAAGAAGTAGAACTTTACTAAGCTCTCTTTTTTTTCGTTTCTTTTTGTCGAATAGAAATTTTGCAAAGTAGAAATATGTGGCCGGAAATCGCGAAAAGACCACGCTTGACCATAACCGGTGGGGTGTAGATTAGTCGGGGTGGTATCATCCCGCGTCACCCCACGGTCTCTGGATTATGAGCTGTCCATCTTCTTTCTGATCCCTGCGGACGTAGAGAATAACGTTTTATACAGCTGACAGGAAAAGGAACCCGTTTTCAAAAATGAATTCACTTTTAACAGTCTCTTGCTCTAGGCGACTACATTTTTCTTTTTACGACTGAAAAGTCACGTAATTATTTTTATTTGTGACGAACAAACAACGATACTTTATTACGCTTCCTAGGTCAGAATCTTTTCCGAGTAATTAATAAGAGTGGAAAGAATCAAACACACAGGCTGCAATCACAATGATTACTCGTTCAGGATAATTATACTAATGGTAATGTCGTTCAGTTCAGCGATTCGAAGGTATGTACTTACCTCTGGATAGATCACAACCAAGCTTCTTCGATTTTACTCGTAGTCTTATAAAGACATAGAAACAACCTCGAATCCTCCAAAGTAGTTTAGAATCGTTCACGAGCTCCGACATCTCCGTCGTAAAAGTTGCCCGATTTTCCGCCCGCTCTCCCCCTCGTAACTTGACCTTTGACTATTCAGACATTGGCATTTTAAACGAAACGGTCGTTCACCCTCCCCCGGGTAACTCGGTCGTTGACCTTGAGCCATCTGGCCGTTGACCTCGCGAGTGTCGCGGCCATCGACCTCGGCCGGGATCCCGACGTTGAACTTGGATAATCGCGCTCTTCACCTTGAACGATACGAATCCGTCCTCCGGATTTGTCGGAGGATTCGCGGAGCCGCCGATTTCTGTTATCGCCGGTGCTCTCTCTCTCGCGTCGCGCATCTTCACTCATTCTGCGAAGGTAGAATTCTGATCAAGCAACAAGGCAGCCGAGCAGAAATTAAGAGGGTCGGATTGAGGCGTGAACGTTTACAGCTTCCGCCGTGTTTACTGAGACATGAAGACGAGCTGTTCTTCCGCCATTCAAGGCATCTCCCCGCACCTCGCCCTCGCGTCTGTTTGTTCTCAGCACGAGAGGTAATGCAATTCTTACGACTGCCGATAGAGATAATTGGGCCGAAGGTCACTGCGATGAGCGTCAAGTGCAGATCCGGAACGGAATTTTGATGTTATTAGTGAATAAAACGAACCTTTGAAGAGTAACATCGATTATGTTAAAAATAACCAAGGAATCGATAACGGAAAGATTATTGGGACAATCTAGTAATTCATATAATTTAATCTTTTAGCTGCGGCATGCAAGGGAATTTTTTTGGAATTACCGACAAATTAGATGGAAATCATATGGCTTTACATTTACGACATATTGATCTGATTTATTAATTCCATGCATTAATCTATGTAAAAATTATAGAACTAACGGTATATCAAATTAATAGCAGAGAATCGATTATTGATACAAAATTTTATTTATTTTTTTTTTTGTAAATGTCTCAGTCCGCGATGGACATATGTATACGACACGGCTAAAAATATTATACATTCCAAGCATAATAAATTCACGCCCGATTCCGATCGAATGAGTTTAAATGAGTCTAAA